CTCTCCTCTGAAGCGGGGCTCGGCCAGGGCACCGCGGCGCGGCGGGGAGCGGGAACACGTGCTCGGATTTCTGCGCGAAGCATTTGCACGGCAAGCTGCTGCCCAAGCTCGCGGCGTTCCGAGGAGCCCAGCTCGGGTGGGGCAAGGAAGCGTGCGGCTGTGTGTCTGCTGCCCATCGGTCGTTGAAAGTACGCATCAAATGATCTCTAGATTCTAGCCTATCTTCGCAGGCGATTTCTCTCCCCCAATCCCCGACTTCCGCCAGAAAAGTTTGGTCGCTCAGAAAAGGGGAGGAATCTTGGGATACATCCCGAGGGGGCTATTCGGACGCACCCCTGTCGAGGATGGACGCCCCCCCCTCGTATATCCCAGGGTTGGGCCCAAAATTGTTGATCCTCTCGAAAACCTCACGGAGCCTGGGATAGGGGTCGACGCATCCCCTGTTATGTCTTGGGCATCTGCCTCTTTCGAGGGTCGAGTTGTATTCCATCGTCCCTCCTCCTCATGGTGGGGGCAAGAGAAGGCGCGGCTGCGCGCGCTCTCGTGTACCAATAGTGATCTGAAGAGACTCGTAATGATCATACGTTTAAGCGAATGCTAGACAAAACAAATAATGAATCTCGTTATTCGTACTAATAACATTTAATAATCATATTATTACTACTACTACTACTACTACTACTACTACTACTACTACTACTACTACTAGTATTAATAATAATATTAATATACAGCGGCGCACACCATGAACTTCAGAGTTCCGCGCGGGTTTCTCGGATCAGCTTTGGGACCCCGCCCCTGGCGAGCTCCGAGCGCCCCAGGGAGGGGGCCGAGAAATCCGCGCGGAGCTCCGAAATTTTATGTATATCCAGGATCGACCTAAAAGGTGTTTTGGCGAATCCGCGGGCCGTGTTCGGTTCGATGTCGTTTTGCGCAAAGGCTGGACGAAGACAATCCGAGGGAAACTAAAACGAACAGAAAGCGGAGAGCACCGTTGAGGTCGAGTGTTGTGTTCTCTCCTTCTGATATTTCTGCTCGTGGGGCGCCTCGGGCGGCCACCCCGAGGTCTCCGGAGGGCATCAGCAGAGAGCAACATGAAAACGCCTGGCGACGATGTTCGATCCTCGATCCTCCTCATCCTCCTCCTGCGCATTGCGTGCTGACGGCATTGGTGCCTCCTGGACGTTGCCACCCCTCCTCCTCCACCTCCTCCTCCTCCTCCTCCTCCTTCCCTCTTGGATGGAGGGCGGAGGGGGGCATTCGTGGAGCCTCGAGAGGCACCCAGGAGCCTGAGTGCACCGAATCTGCCGAAAGGGTGCGGAAGCCTCCAGCGGCGGCTCCAGTGGCCTACACGCAGCCTCGCATGCCTCCTCCTGGAGCCATCCCAGCGTGGCTCGACGGTAAGATCAGGCGTTCTGATATTGAACCCAGCGTTGATCGGCTCCACCGCATTCGTGTCTTCTTCTTCCTCATCCTTGACTTTGTTCCACATTAATGATCATGATGGAACTCATCGGCCTCGTCCTCACCCGGAGCATCCCTGACCGTTTCGGCTCATTTGGTTTGGAAATGCGCGCGGGTACACTGTTGTATTTTAATGTGTGACGGTGAGATTGCGGTGGTATGGCGAAGGGTTGCAGCCAGAGCTGTCCAGGGCGCATCAGGACGGGTGCGCATGTGAACCTATCCTAATGCCACACTTCCGACGGCTGCGGACTGTGAGTGCGATCCCAACGGGTCCGGGCTGGATCTCAGAGTGATTGGGAAGTGATTGAAACGGGGCTCATCCAACATCGGATCAGCAAGTGTAAAGCATGGGATAGGAGTCCGAATCAGTCATGGAAGGGGGGTGAAGCAGTGCAGGAAAACGCGATATTATGACAAGTTTGGAGTGACCGATTGGGCGGTATAGAAGCGTTTGCGTAAATCTTGCGCCCTCCTTGGCAGGACAGTGGGTGGACGAGCACCTTAAGCAGGCCTTGCGCGAGAGTTTCGAGGAGCTGGATGCAAGCTTCGCGGAGAAGAACCCAGACGCCAAGCGAGCTCCGCTCCGACGGGGGGGGCGGGCAGCAATGGGCATCATCGCGAATTGGGGAAGCCGATTGTAATTCACCAAAAATGCCAGACATTCCCAGGTCGTAATTGTCATCGGGAGGGCCTGCGAAGGTCTTGCCACAGGTTCTGTTCTGTTGCTGGCGCCATCCCTCTGTGCGCCAGGAGCACAAGGCAAAGCATGCTGGGCCAGACGTGCCGGAGGAGTTGGAGACCACACGCGAGCCTGCGCCAGGACGAGGCACCCGGAGCCGCGCTGGGTCGGCTTCCGGGCAGCCTCCGGATCTGGGTCGGGGGGGACCTCTCCGTGGCCGAGGCCCGCCGTGACCAGAGACACAGACCAGACCTCACGCTCTCCTCTGGCGCCCCGCCGCGCGTGGCGCCTGCGCAGCAGCAGAAGCAGGGAGAAGGATGAAGAGGAGCAGGAGGAGGAGGAGGAGGAGGAGGAGGAGCAGGAGGAGGAGGAGGAGGAGGAGGAGGAGGGTCCGGCCGGAGAAGCAGACCCGACGTGGAGCTTCCGGGGGCCAGCGCGCACCTCTTGGACCGGCGCTGGGCCCCCCTGCCCGGCGCGCGGGGCCCCCCCCGGCGCCGACGCAGGAAGTCCGCGCGGAGCTGCGACATGTTCCGTGTACGTTGTGCTGCCTCCCTCTGATATTTCTGCTCCGAAATTTTATGTATATCCAGGATCGACCTAAAAGGTGTTTTGGCGAATCCGCGGGCCGTGTTCGGTTCGATGTCGTTTTGCGCAAAGGCTGGACGAAGACAATCCGAGGGAAACTAAAACGAACAGAAAGCGCAGAGCACCGTTGAGGTCGAGTGTTGTGTTCTCTCCTTCTGATGTTTCTGCTCGTGGGGCGCCTCGGGCGGCCACCCCGAGGTCTCCGGAGGGCCCCAGCAGAGAGCAGCATGAAAACGCCTGGCGACGATGCTCGATCCTCGATCCTCCTCATCCTCCTCCTGCGCACTGCGTGCCGACGGCATTGGTGTCTCCTGGACGTTGCCACCCCTCCTCCTCCTCCTTCCCCTCTTGGATGGAGGGAGGAGGGGGGCATTCGTGGAGCCTCGAGGGGCACCCAGGAGCCTGAGTGCACCGAATCTGCCGAAAGGGTGCGGAAGCCTCCAGCGGCGGCTCCAGCGGCCTACACGCAGCCCCGCATGCCTCCTCAAGGAGCCATCCAGCGTGGCTCGACGGGAAGATCAGGCGTTCTGATATTGAACCCAGCGTTGATCGGCTCCACCGCATTATTGTCCTCTTCTTCCCCATCTTTCATTATCATGATGGAACTCAACGATGTTCGATTCTCGATCCTCCTCCTCCTTTCCTGAGTGGAGGGCGCAGGGGGCATGCTGTGCCGTCTGCTCTTCCTCGGCCACGCTCAGGCGTGGCTTCGCCCGACAGGCGGGCGACGCGCGACGGCTTCTGCTCCTCAGCGTGGCGCGTTCCACGTCGCACGCCACACGCGGCGCTTCTGTTGGCACGATGGTCGTCTCTCGGCAGCCAGTCATATGTGGTCCCAAATGGAACCCCAGGGAAAGGGACTTTTGAGACGGGCGATGCCGATGTCTCGAGTCCGCTCGGCTTGGCCCGCAATGTCGTCGCACGACGCTTTCACTCACACTTCGAAGTCTCATATTCAGATGCAACGCCGCGGTCTCAGAAGTCCCTCTCGCTGGCGTCCCTTTGGGCAACGCTTCAGCCAGGATCAGGGCTCGACCTCGTTGGCTGTTCTCGCTTCGATTTTGTTTTGCAGCGAAGGTGGATCGAGAGCACAAGACGAAGGAGAAGGAAGGCAAAACGCGCACGGAAAACATCGCGCCGCATCGCCGATGCATCGCCGATGCGGCTCGATGTGGAGCCCGATTTGCTTCGCGTCGACGTCGCCGATGCGTCGCCCAAGTCGACGATGCATCGCTGGTGCATCGCCGATGCATCGCCAATACATCGCTGATGCATCGTCGGTGCATCGGCGATGCGGCACGAGCCTCCCGACCCCGTCTGCTTCGACCCCATCTAGGAGGCCTCTGGAGGAGGCCTGGCCGAAGGCCCGCTCGGGCCCGGTGCCGCGCCCGAGCCTGGCGCGGGGGCGTCGGGACCCCGTCCTGCACGCCCAGAGGGAGGACGCGCCTACGGCCGGACCGAGGTACTTTGAAGGGGCCCCAGGACACACAAATAAACACAAAAATAAGCATATTCCCCATATTTTCCAATATTTTTTGGGTTTTTGCCTTCCCCCCCACTTCCCATAGTTTCCCATATTTTCTGAGGAATCAACGACTATTTGTGTCTGTGTGTTTTTTCTCCTCCTGAGGGTACTTGTGAGGTCGAGTTCGGTTCGGGGAGGGTGCCCTACACGCCGGTCGTTGAAGGTAGGCCCTGCTGGACTCCCAGGTCCCAATCCAGTTTTAGCGCCTTCCTACTGCAAGGGTCGTTTTTGCGTTTGCTGTGGTTTGTTCTTTCTTCGGGAGGGCCTGAACCCAACCTGCTTGAGACGCCTTCCTATTTCATGATTTTACCTACGTCTTCCAACCGACGTGTAATGTTGTTCGTGCTTGTTGGATGTTCTTGTGCATCCTGGGGGAGGGTACCCTCAACTGTTCTTCAGATTGGCGGCTGTAAGGTCTTACGTTCTTGAAGGATGTTCATATGTCCTAGGTTTGGCCGTACTCCTGAGGCACCGCGAGTGCACGACTAGTATGATCGAAATGGGTACAGAATGTCGAGCGGGTGGTAGTGGGGATATCCTGAGTGGGGGGTGAGAAAAGGGCCCCAAAGGGGCCCTTTATGGCCCTTCTGGAGCCATTACGAGGCCCAAGAGGGGCCCAGGTCTTTATCTTTACCCCAATTTAGCTCACCCCCCATTACCACCAGCCCGAGAAAGGGTGGGCACGAAGCCAGATGGCATTTCTTGGTCATCTTGGTCATTTTGATCAGGACTCGCTGTCGGCGTTTCCACGGGCTCTGCCCATTCGAGGCAGAAGACCTTCTTGTCGGTTTTGTACTCCAGATGTTTTTTGGGGCATCGTCCCCATTCGTTCCGTACCCACTCCGGGCGTCCAAGCACGAGTGGCATCGACAGGGCCCTGGCAAGCTGGCTCCCCTGATATTCGAAGAGGAGGTGCTGCGCATAAGCAGAAATTTTCGAAGCTCCTCGCGGAGTTCCAGATCGGCGTTGGACCCCCCTGGCGGCGCCTCCAGCGCTGCACGCCTGGCACGGCGACGGAAGGCGTGGGCACGATGCCCACACAGCAGCGCTTTTGTTCGTTTGGATCAGGATTTGCTGTGCTTCGTGGCCATTCGGACAACAGATCCTGTCACTTTGTCAGCAGCCCTTGTCCATTTGACAAGACTCGTTGTTCTTTTGGGCAAGACGTGCTGTCAAAATGACGAGAGTTTGTTGCCAGAAAAGGGTTCCGAAGGACAGCGACTCTTGTTCCACATGACCGGGCACTGCTGCTGGGTATCGTATCGGGAGCCTCGAGACGGGGGTCAGTGCAAACGGGGGTCAGCCAGGGCGCCGGATCCTGCAGGATCTTGCGAAGGCCCCCTCTGGCTGACCCGGGTCAGGGAGCCGCTCGTGGCCGCGAGGCGGCCGCGCGTATTGGCTGACCCGGGTTTGCGAGGACCTGCGTTGCAGTTTTTTTTCCCTGCATTGCAGTTTTTGGTTTCCTGCTGACCCGGGTTTGGATTGACCCGGGTCAGAAGATCCCCGATCGTATCTGCAATGTCCGTCCCCGCTGCAGGCGTGCGAGCCCCTCCTCCCCCACCTCCGCGTGCTGCGACAAGCACGGCGGGAGATTCTGGACAGTGCGCGGCCTCCCGGGTGCCCTGGCCGGGCCCCAGGACCGCGAAACAAGTGTTCGGGTTGAGAGCACGGCCCGGGCAAGGGGTCTGGACCTGTGGGTGTCAACGGCACCGTAACGGGTACTTACTAACGGGTACTTTGATTTTTTGCCGAAAGTTGCCATTTTAGGGCCCTTTTCTTGCATTGCAGCTTTGCCCACATCGGGAAGGGTTGGGTTCGCTGGGTCACTGGCCAAAGTACCCGTTAGTGGAGTCCCCGTTTGAGGGGCGCTGAGGGTGGTCGGCAATCTGAAAGTACGAAACACTACGTCTGAGGTCTGGGCCTGTCCGCAGCCTCGCAGGTTTAGTCCGCAGCGCCCCTGGCCTTGATCGGGGGTGGCCGTAATGTCTCTAAGCTGCCGTGGCCAGAGGGGCAGGGCTGGCCCGGAGTCTTCAAACGTCAGTCAGTCCTGGAGCACTTCGAGCTTCGAGACGGGTAATGCTCCTCCAGTTCCTCGTTTTTCGTTCTGGTCTTGGTGACTGTACTGGTGCCACTCGGGTTTGGTGATATCGCTGCCCTGATGATTCTCCTCCACCCCCCCTTATTTTTTGCATCATGATCCTTCCCCTCCTCTCGAGTCGGGCGAAAGGGGGGGATTGGGAAAGGGGGGGTTACGAAATTTGCTGCATGCAGCTGGTTTCGGCCTCACCGAGGGGCCCATTCCTCGATACATAGCCGCCTCCGGCGCCGGGAGGCGCCGGGAAAGTCAGCTACGTGAGCTGATTCTCAACCCCCCCCTTTCGCCCGACCCGATCCTCCCTCCTCCATCTTGAAGCAAGCCATACCGGAAGCTCATCCGCGGCTTCTTTGGGGCCCTCTTTGTCGGGGGTCCTGGGAGCCCGCTGGGAGCCCGTCGAAGGTCCCAGCGGGCTGTTTTGGGCGGGATGGCTCCAGGCTCTCCCTCCGAGGTTCGTCGTAGAACCAAGGGCTCCCTCGAGGGCGCGAAGTTATTCGCGCTTCGCGCTTCGCGGTCCTCGTTCCTTCTCCCCCTCCTCCTCGTCCTCCTATTCTCCCTTTGGGAGGGCGGCGCGAGAGCGCGAAGTTATTCGCGCTTCGCGCAGCGCGAAGCGCGAATTTGGGAGCCCTTGTAGAACCCTCGTGGGGACGTCTGGGCGGGTCCTGGGGCCATGGTGGCGCCCTCCTGGACCGCCTCGCGGGGCGGCGGGTTCTTCGGCGTTCTCGGTCCCGTATTTGCAGGCCTCCAGATTGGAGTCCAAGAATCGCTCCGCATCGCTGATGCATCGGCGATGCGGCTCGATGTGGATCCCGGTTCGCTTCACGTCTACGTCGCCGATGTCGACGGTGCATCACTGATGCATCGCCGATGCATCGCCGATGTATCGTCGATGCGGCGCGATCTTCCGACCCCATCTATTCGGACCGCATGCGGGAGGCCTCTAGTACCTGGGCGTTCTTGCGGCCGTCTTGGGCCGTTTGGGTGGCTTGTTGGAGCACTGTGAAGTTTGTCCGAGCCGATCTGAAGCCGAACAGCATGGGAAGCAAATCGCAATATGTCCATCGTTTTCTCATAACTGCACTCTCCGTCCCTCGCTGAGGGCCTCTTTGGGCGTCTCTTTGGGGGGAGGCTCTTGAGTCCCCTCGGCGGCATCTTGGAGCGTTTGGGGTGTCTTTAGGCCCTCTTCGGCTGGTCGTCGCAGCTTCTTGGAGCGATGTTGGGCAGCTTTTTAGCCGCCTTGAGGCGAAGAGGGCGACATCCAGCAAAACTAGGGGGCGAGTTTCTCAGGACGCGTGCGATGATGGAGGGGGTCGGTCCTGGAAGACTACAGGACCCCCACCAGACAACCAACGGACATGTCAACACGCCCCAACGTGCCTATGACATGGTTGCGGATTATATCCGATATTGTCCAGGTTGGATCTCTTTCAGGATTTTACCCCAGGTACGCCGCAGTGGTTGTGTTGCCATGGGCGCGACCTGGGCATGATCGGAAGGTTGAGCTCTGAGCAGTACCATCGGCGGCGGCAGTAGCATCAGCAGCAGCGAGAGCAGTCGTCGATGCGCGCAGACTGCGGACGGGCACCACGTGTCGTTGGCATGGCTGGACCTAAACGCTGCTTTGCTGGACTTCGGCTGTGTTTTGTTGTTCGCTTTGGCAGGCAGGTACAGGAAAACAGGTGGAGCAACACGAGCAAGAAAACGAATGCAAAACGAAAGACAATGTTTAGGTCCAGCCCTGGTCGTTGGCCTCTGTGGCCGGAGCACATGTCGAGCCCAGCGGCCTGGAAGCGAGCATTTTTCTCAGCGGTGCGCCCAGGGGGGAACGGCGAGAGGGGCTGGCCTTCTCGGAAGGCAGCGGGGGTGTCTCGCGCATCTGCAAGGGGTCGCTCGCGGAGGGTGTTTTGGGCGATTTCTCACATCGCCAGCGCAGTCACCCTCTGCCTAGACGCCGACGCGAAAGTCGGGCCTGACGAAAGGGGGGGATTGGGGAAGAGGTTACGAAGTCTGCTCCATGCAGCCGGTTTCGGCCCGGCCGCCGGGCCCATGCCTCGATGCATGGGCGCCTCCCAGCGCCGGGAGACGCCGGGAAAAGCAGCTGCGTAAGCTGATTCTCCCCCCCCCCCTTTGCTGCTATCCCTTCCTTTCGCCCGGCCCGAAAACGTGTTTGGGCGACGTCGTGAGCCGTCTTTGTTTGGATTTCGTTCTGTAGCGAGGGCGGGGCGCAGGCAGAGCGAGTCGGGCCGCGCCCTCGACGGTCGAAAACAGTTGCACAACCGAGAAGAGAAGGGCGGCGAGCTCTGCTATCAGACAGGCGGGAGGCTCAGGAGGAGGAGGGGGGGAGGAGCAGGAGGAGGAGGAGGAGGAGGAAGAGGAGGAGGAGGAGGAGGAGGAGGAGGGTGACATGCAGATCATTACTTACTCTAGGATTCAACATGATCTGCTGCTGCTGCTGCTTGCAAGTTTCCCCAAGAGACGTCAGCGAAGCCGTAGCTCCCTCTGTTCGGCGGCTGGACGATTCGGTCTCTCAAACTTGAGCGCAACGACAACGACAGAGGACGACAACAACACGGCAACGAGGGAGAAGGACCACAAGACGACAACGACAACGAAACAGTCTCTCGACCCTTGACACCACGTCATCGAGGGAGAACGACAGCAAAACGAGGGCGGAACAGACGGTTCAGGTCGCAGCCTGGCAGCCGCTATCCCTCTGCGTGCGGTCGGCCGCACCGCCAACCCCGCCCCCCCCCGCGCAGGGACGGCTGCTCCGCGGCCGTGGCCCTGGTGCTCGGGGACCGCGTGGCGGTGGCAGCCCGGAGAGCGGGGGCTTAGAGGGAACTCTGGGGGCGGCGATGAGGGGGGTGACGACCAGGGCGGGTGGATATCACGGCGTGGGCCATGGTATCTCCACAGATTTTGTGGCGGCGCCTCTCCTTATTTCATTACGTCCCCAGCCCCCCCCCCGTGAGCCGCGCACATGCCGCCAGCCATGATTTGCGCCCCCCCCCCTTCTGGACGCCCCACTCTTTGGCCGCCCCCGAAAACTCATCGAGGATAAAAGAAACCACGAACCCGAGTAACATAGTGAAGGCCTGGCCTCAGTGAGGCCCCCGTCTTTGCATCAGTGATTCATCGATCTGGGCGGTTCTGGCTGATGCATCCACCCGAATTATCTCTAACGTGTTTGGCCCTCCTGACTTCGGTTCCCACCCAAAGAGTCAGGGGTCCTTCTATTGCTAGTCAGAAATCGGGCGTTGCGTCATGGGGGGGGGCGAAAAACGACGGGGGGGGGAAAGGATGCACCTTTCTTTTGTGTCCTAAAGAGGCCCCCTGGGGCCCAAAAGGGACACGAGAGGTGAACGTTTCTTTCCCCTCCCCTCCCCATTTGTTGCTCCCCATCGAGTAATGAACGCCCAAGGAATGGAGATGTCGCGGGGGAGGTCAGGGGGGCAACGTTGGGGGGGGGTCCCTGAAGGTTTTTGGTTGATGGCTCTTGGGGCGCCTTCGTGGCCGCGGCTGGATTCGCGTTGCAACTCCTGCCAGAACGCACCAAAGGAGAGGTGCAGGGATCGACCGCTGACCACCGATCAGGGCTCCAGGTCCCAGCTTTTCGAGCGTTCTCGGCGGCTCAGCGGCTGCGCTCAGCGGCTGCGCCTCGCCCAGAGCGTTCCCGGGTTGCCCGGATCCTTCCGATGGGCCGCAGGAGGCCCGAGTGATGGTCCGAAAACAACCAAGCGTCGAAGGGATGGGGAGGGTAGGCTCGCACAGAGGTGGGGGCGGGGGGGGCGCATCGATCCCCAATCGCCCTTGGATCGCCGATAGGGGCCCGATAGACCCACCCCGCCGAGGAGCACAGGGATTCGCTGCGGGGGCCATCGCCGATCTATCAGCGATGTATCGCCGATTCTTGGCCCATGTTTCCCCCCTACAGTAGTGGTCTTGAAGAAGGATCCCTTTTCGTTGGAGGGGGCTCCGTGTCCCTTGATTGTTTCACAGCTTGCATCAGGTTATCCCAAGGTTTTCGATGGGGAATCGAAGTTTAACTTGTGGAAAAGGAGGGGCCTCGTTCCTTATTTAGGGTTCCTTAGGTCGACGCCCCGACTGTACGCCATTCCCCCCCTGGCCTTCCCCCTCAGGACGGGGGGCGACAGGGGGGACGGGCGAGAGTGCTTTGGCGATCACGGCGGTCTAACATATCGTACACCCGTGGCGGCAGGTGCTGTCGTTCTAGCCCCTGCCGTTTTCTTCTGGCGCAACTTGGTTTGGTATGTCAGAGGTTGACAATGTCTTACTTGTCTGTCCCACGCATCGAGAGTCCGCGGGTCGCTCTGGTCGCACTTGGTCGCGCAGTAGCTCATTTCCAATTGTCCGTCGATTGCCTTGGTCGCGTTTGTCGCGCCTGGCCCGACAGCCGTCGGCGAGCTGGCATCTTTCTTTCTCTCTCTCTCTCTCTCTCTTTCGCTTCCTCTCTCCGCCCCTCTCTCCCACTACTTACCGAATCACCTTCACCCAACCCGAAGGCCCTAGACGAAGCCTTTCCCCCCGAAAAAATCGGGTTGGGGGGTGTACGGGTTCCGTCGTGTTCCTCCATGTTCTGGAGTGCCTTCCCACCGGAAATGTACGAGCCCGACTGATTTCTGAGTTGGTTTGGGTGATTCCGTCTTGGAGGCGGCCATGGGAGCTGAACTGGCTGGGACCCCAGAAATCGGTCACGAGGGGGGGACGAGGCCGACGGGGGAATGAGGCCAAATCTACTCAAAATCGGTCTCCAGACCACTCCTGGGGTGGATTTGGTTGCAGTTTTTCACCCCGGATCCGGTTCTGATGGTCCCGGGGCCTGCGAGCGGCCCCCTAGGCCGAAACAGGCCAAAAGCCTAGCCGAACCTGGCGCCTCGAGTTTGCCCGCCCCTCCTGCTGGCCGGAACCGGTGCTGGGCACCCTCATTGAGCGTTGCGTAATGGGGGGGGTCATACATGGGGGGGGGGGGCGAGAGTGGTCCGAAAAAGTACCCAAACGGTACCAAAACGAGCCCCCTGGGGCTCCGGAGGGGCCCGAAAGTGGCACGAAAGGGGACCGTTTCTGACCCCCCCATTAATGACCCACCCGTTAAGCCACGCCCAACCTCAAACCCCAAGACGGTTCTCAGTTTGGTAATCAAGTAGTGCCTCTCTCTCTCTCTCTCTCTCTCTCTCTCTCTCCTTCTGTTTCACGAAGAGCGGGGCGGGTGGGCCGCCAGCTCTCGAAGAGCGGAGCGGGTGGGCCGCCAGCAGCGCCATCAGGCGTGAGAGCGCTCGCCGCGCCACGGTGCCTGGAGCACGTCACGTGCCGTTCGGCACGCGCCGGCGCCGTGGCAGAAGCGCTCAGGAGAAGCGCTCGAAAGGGGGCGAGGCAGCCCGCGACAGACTGCTCCTCGCGCACCTGCGCCGGCGGGCGCCGCGCCCGCCATAATGCGAGCGAGGTGGCCAGCCTCGGGGACATCGCCTGCCTCGCGTGCCTCCGCTCCGGAGGGGCCGGGGCTCCCGGGGGCGAAGTTCGAGAGCGAGGAGCGAGGGCGAGGGGGGGAGATCGGGCGGTGCGTATAATTCGGGGGTGGACAGAACCCCCACCCTGACACGTCGATTAGTGAATTGTCCGTTTTCGGTTCTCGAGAGGGCGCCGCGGCCGTCATTTTCCAGGCTTACGCCCTCCAGGTTTGGGCCCCAGGTCGTTGTCACTAAACCACGTTTTGCTAAAGGGGGTTCTGTCCATCCCCGAAGCGAGGGCGAGGGGGGGAGATCGGGCGGTGCGTATGATGGGGAGGCGGGGCGAGCGCGCGATGTCGGTCCAGCGGGACTGGCCTTCACAGGGCAGCTCGGAGGGGCCAGAGCCCTCGGGTGATATCCTGGGGTGATGATGTTCCAAGAGACTTCGACCTTGATCACCAGAAAGAACTTCGAGCGCCAAGAAAGTACCAAGACTGGAAGGTTTTCGCGTGTCGTGTCGGAGGCGATATTCGTTCGGCACCTTTTTGGGTGCTTGAAATTATTTCTGGGATGCGGTTCTTTAGTACGACGGGGGCACCATAATCTTGGGGCCAGAGCCCTCAGGATATCAACACGGGGGATGAGTGTGCACCCGTTGTGTCCTCCAGGGCCTGGGCAGGGGCACGCAGTGTGCACGTCTCACCCCACCCCGCCCGCGTGTCGCCCCCCCATCAAGCAACGAACAGCGGCCTTGTGTCCTAAAGAGGCCCTCTGGGGCCCAAAAGGGACACGATACACGCACGTTTCCTTCTCCCCCCCTCCCGTTTGTCGCTCCCCCATCGGGTAACGCCCAAGGAATGAAGATCGCGCGGGGGGTGCTCAGGGGCAGCGTTGGGGGTGGGTCGCTCCATGACGGTGTTTCGATGGCTCTCGGGGCGCCTCCGTGGCGACGGCTGGATCCGCCTCGCAGTTCTGGGCAGAACGCGCCCCGGGAGAGGTCCCAGGGATCGATTCCTGACCCCCGAGCAGGGTTCCTCCTCCTCCTCCTCCTCCTCGTCGTGGCCCTGGGGTTCCAGGTTCCAGGTTCCAGGTGTTCGAGCGTTTTCGTCGGTTCTCGGCGGCTTTCCAGCCTCGGGGTGCCTTCCAGCGGCAAAGCCTCGCCGGGGGGCTGCCAGCGACCCGAGTTACATTCCGAAAACAATCGGGTATAGCTAGGACCCGGTTTAGGGGAGCGGGGGTGAGCGATTGGGCCCCGAAGCCCGACATATGAATTGGAATCACTGAACCAGGTCTGCCGTAGCCGGTGCTTCTCGGGTGACGGCAATTCCGGTTAGTGGAATGGGGGGTGGATCGTCCCTGGTACAGATTACGAAACCAGGCCCCGCCAAACCCAGTCCTGCCATCGCCCGACACAACAACGTGTCGACGAGGTCAGGGGCAGCGTTAGGGCGGGGGCAGGCTCAGGGAAGGGGGAGGGGCGCACCGACTCCCCCATCGCCCAACGCTCGCCGAAAGGGGCCGACAGCCCACCCCGCCCAGGCGTCTGCGGAGTCGCTGCAGGGGCCCCGGCCCCGGTCAGTCGGCGATGCATCCCCGATTCCAGGTCGATGTTGTGCCCACCCCGCCACACGGGTTCGGGCCCGCCCGTGGCCCCCCTCCGCGGGTCGGGCCGCCCCCTCTCTCCGCAGAAGAGCAGGAGCGGCAGAAGCACAGATCGTCGAAGCTCTGCGCGGAGGCCGTGGAGCTGCGCTGGGCCCCCCCCGCCCGAGCGCCGCCCCTGGGAGCGCTCCGCGCGCCAGGCGGGGCGGCCCAGCGCCGATGCAGGAGATCCGCCGGCCCGGGGCCGGTGTCCGAGGAATCTGGTGTCCGGTGGGTCCTCGCTGCCCACGGCCGGAGCTCGGCCCACCCTCCTTGCGAGCCGCTCGCTGGGCGGGGGCGCGCTCCGATTCCAACATCAGGCTGTGCCGCGACGCTGGACGGCTGGAAGAGATGCGGCCCTGCGGGCTGGGGCCCCGAAAACGGCAGCGACCGAAACTTCCGGAGCTCTGCGCACATGACTTGGCTCTGCGCTGGAGCCCCCTGGCGGCGCCTCCACGCGCCGCCCCTGGCGCGCTCCACGCGCCAGGGAGGGTGCCCCAGCGCAGACCCAAGTGATCCGCGCGGAGCTCCGAAAGGTTAGGTGTATGCACTGTTGTGTTTGTGGGGCGCCTTGGGCGCCCCGCAGGAGATCATCCTTAGATGTTCTGCTTGCGGGGCGCCTCGGGCGCCCACCCCGAGGTCTCAGGAGGGCCCCAGCAGAGCAACATGCAACCCCCTGGGCGATCCTCCTCCTCCCCTCCTCCTCGATCCTCGATCCTCCTCCTCGATCCTCGTTCCTCGTTCGTCGATCCTCCTCCTCCTCCTCCTCCTGGATGAAGGGCGCAGAAGGGCTGAAGGGTGGGAATGATCTCTCCTCCCTGGCGCGCGGAGGCGCGGCCAGGGCGGCCGAGCGCCGATTCAAGAACCTTGGGCGGAGCTCCATCAGCCTGTTTTTTGTCTACAGTGTTCTTGGCATCGCTCGGACGTGTGCATCCTACTTCGGCGAAGCCATCGAGACGCATCTTGTATTACTTTGCGACAAAACAAGCGCACGATATCACAGAACATGTACGTACGAGGAGCAGACGTCCTCGCGATGGCGAGTTGTGCGGAGGAGCCTCTTGGATCCTCCTGCGACAAAACAAGCGCACGACATCCAAAAAACATGTGCGGGGAACAAACAATAACATAGACATACAACATCGGAGGTCCGCGCGACTTTCTCGGATCGGAGCTGGACCCCCTTTCCTTGGCGCGCGGAGCGCGCCAGGGGCGACGCGTGAGGCGCAGCCAGGGGGGGTCCATCGCCGATCAGAGGAACCCGCGCATACCTGCGAGTTTTGATGTTTGTGTCATTGTTCATTCCCCATAAATGCGTAGACGTCCGAGCGATGGCGAGAGGGGGGGGAGGGAGGGGGGAACGGGCGGGAGCCCGCCGGCTCGTTCGACCCCAGCCGACCCCGCCGCCGCCCCCTTTGCCGCTCCTGCTCTCTCCTTCGTCGGCGAGCCTGTGTGGGGGGGAAGCGAGGAGAAGGCCTTATCAGAAGGCTCGTACGACGACGACGAGGACGACAGCGACGACGACCACGGCGATATTTTTTCTCTCCCTCCTCTCTCTCTCTCTCTCGTTCTCGCCCTCCCCTCCCTCCCCTCCCCCTCCCCTCAAACTCCCTCCCTCCCCCCCCCCCCTCGCCAGTGCCGCTGTGCTGGCCCACCCCGCGTCCCTGCTTCGATGCCACACTACAGCTTCTGCCGCCCCCCGTGTGACTCCACCCGCCCGGTATAGCGAAAGCGGGCGGCGAGGAATCGCGTGGGCGAAGCACAAATCCGTACCGGCGGCCTCGTGGCCCGGGCCCTGGGCCGCGATCCCGCGGATGCGGGGCGCTTCTTCGCGGATGCCCTGCGCGGAATGCATCCGCCCGTCCGCGTATCCGCGGGATCGCGCCCCAGGATCCAGACAGCGAGGGCGCGGACGCGGATGTGTTTGTTCGCCGCCCGTGAGACCAACTCTCCAGCAGCCGCGTGGAAGAGGGGATCAGCAGCAGTGCGCCACTGCGCGCCCGCGGGGCGCGTCGCGGGAGGGGATGCAGAGCGGCAGCCGAGGGGACTGCCTCGAGAGGGCCTCAGCCCTCCTCCTCCTAGTCCACCCTCTTCGGTCCTCCTCGATCCTCCTCCTCGCCCTCCGCATCGGCCCTCCTCCTCCTCGATCCTCCTCCTCCTCCTCCTCCTACTCCTCCTCCTCCTCCTCCTCCTCCTCCTCCTCCTCCTCGATCTTCCTCGATCCTCCTCCTTCTCGATCCTCCTCGGTCCTCCTCCTCCTCGGTGCTCCTCCTCGATCCTCCTCCTCCTCCTCGATCCTCCCCGATTCTCGATCCGCCGTGGGGCGGCGGGGGAAGCTCGTGCAGGGGGACGGCCGACGTGCGCAGCGCGGGGGAGTGGAGGCGAGATCGTCCGCCTCGCGAGAGCGCACGCGGTCCGCTCCCCGGGCGAAGCTTTTGGCGCGCCACAGCTCGGGGGCGGCAGAGGAGGAGGAGGAGGAGGAGGAGGAGGAGGAGGAGGAGGAGGAGGAGGAGGAGGAGGACGAGGAGGGAGGAGGAGGAGGAGGAGGACGAGGACGAGGACGAGGACGAGGACGAGGACGAGGAGGAGGAGGAGGAGGAGGAGGAGGAGGAGGAGGAGGATGGAGGAGGAGGAGGCGGAGGAGGAGGAGGAGAAGGACAAGCTAGGTGCGCTCGCGTCATATCTTACATCCTACCCCTCCCTCCCATCTCTTACCATGGCGCACGCAGATCCCCTCTCTACTCGCACAGTCGGATGTCGAGCAGGGCAATGATCCCGAAAGGGTACGCGATGCATTGTAGAGCACGGCATGGCATGGCGTAGAAGAGCACCGCAAAGCGTAGTATCAACCTAGCATTGCATTGCACGCCATGGCATGGCATGAGAAATGACGCCAGCGCTGTAGCGGGAGCACGAGTCGAAACGAGCGGAAGCACGGAAATGAGGCCAGCGCTGCAGCGGGGGCACGATTCGGAACGAGCGGAAGCACGGAAATGAGGCCAGCGCTGCAGCGGGAGCACGATTCGGAACGAGCGGGGCCCGAAAATGAGGCTGGCGCCTCAAGGAGGAGGAGGAGGAGGAGGAGGAGGAGGAGGAGGAGGAGGAGGGAGGGGAATGTTGACGTGCAGAGGGGAGGAGGGACGGATGGGGGAGGCGGACAGGCGGACCCAGCGGGCGGAGGGGGCGAGGGACCGCGTCCCGGGAGCAGGGCTGCCTCCCGCGGTTGCCCTGTAAGAGCTGGCCTCGCCTCAGCCAGGCAACGCTCAGGCGTGCTTCTGTCGGGGGCGGCAAAGAGGGGGTGATGACTGACTAGGGGGGGGGATATCATGGCGGGGGGCACGATACTTCCCCAGATTTCATAGCGCCTCTTCTCATTTCAATGCGTCCCCGGCCCCCCCGCTGGGCCGCGCACGTTACGCCGGTCATGATTTGCACCCCCCCCTCTTGGACGCCCCCCTCTTTTGCCGCCCCCGACACAGCGGGGCACCGGGGGTGTTCGGAGCTTCGGAGCACGCTTCACTGGCGTCGTTCGGGCCACTCCTTTCTGCCTCCTTCGCGGGAGTCAAGTCAGGTCAAGTCGGGCCGGTGTGCCCGAAAGGGGCGGCCACGTCTGGCACAGGCGGAGGAGAGCAGCAAAACGCTGCGGCCGGCGCAGCAGAACAGGGCGCACTGAACAGTCCAGGAGGAGGGGAGAGGAGGAGCGGAAAAGAGGGAGGAGGAGGAGGAGAGGGAGGAGGAGGAGGAGGAGGAGGAGGAGGAGGAGGAGGAGGAGGAGGAGGAGGAGGAGGAGGAGGAGGAGGAGGAGGAGGGGGCGGACGGAAAACGAGCTAACGTGCACGCCTCCACGGAAGAGATACCCCTATGGGCATCAATTGTTCGCGCGTTCCGCGTGGATGCATCTCGGATAGGCGCGCCGCCCCGCGAGGTCCGCCCGCCTCGGCGGGGGGGGGGGCGTCAGCGCGGGGTCCAAGAAGTCCGCCGGAGCTCCGAGAGCTGATGTTTTTTCACGCCAGTCGTTGAGGGTATGTTTGTGCTGGATTCCCACATCCCAAGCTACAATTGGGCGCCTCCCTACCTCACTCGGCGAGTGTTTTTTTTCTGCTCCCTCCTGTTCGGGGCGCGGGCGGAAGCCCAGTCTATCTCCAGCGCCTTCGTACTCCATGTTTTCACGCACTTCTTCGGGCCGGCCTGTATTCCGGTTTTCTGTTTTGTGGGTTTTTGTTTCCCCCTGTCGAGAGCGATCGCCTGCAGCCCCAGCAGGCGGGGTCTTGCGTGCGGGACTCTTTGGCCTCCCAGATGGGTTGGATGGCAAACTCCACTTGCTAGAAGATCCAGACTTGGGGCCAAAGCCGAATATCTGTTTGACGGGACTCTCTTGGGGGCCTCTTGGAACGTTTCGGGTTCGATTGCTTCTTGGGCCGAATTGAGCTGACGGGAGCCCGACAGGCGAGATTGCGAACATCTTTCAACAGAAACCCACGAACGTTGAGTTTGGCTTCTGAGGACCCTGTTGGAGGTCCTCTTGTGGCCCTGCTGGGCCGTCTTGGATGCATCGGGGCCGTCTTGAAGCCCTACTGGACCGCCCTGGGGCCATCCTGGACCGTCTTCGAAGCATCTCGGGGGCGCGGCTCCCTCGCCCAGAGATCGTGGCCTCGGGAAGGGGGTGCGGTGCATGCAGGGAACTCAAGAGGGGGAAAAACACACAGACACAATTAATCCTCGATTCCCCAGAAAATATTGTATAATATGGGCAGTGGGGGGGAAGACAAAAACCCTGAAAATATTGGAAAATATGGGGGATATGTTTATTTGTGTGTATTTATTTGTGTGTCCTGGGGCCCCTTCAGGAACGCGGGTACGGAGGGGGGTCCCTTTTTCGAGCACAGAGACCCTGCCAGGCAGCAGTTGGCATTCTTCCACGCCTCAGTGTGCACAAGGCACGGTGCGGATCTCGGGCGGTTGGGGCCAAAACGGGGCGGTGACGGACCGCGCGGTGAGGTCCATGGGGATTGTCGAGGTCATTGCACGATCTGTCTCCCATTCCTACCCCTCCACGGCCATCCTTCTCCCCCCTTCTCCCTTCAATCCCAGGGGGTGTGAGAAGATGGTCGCACTATGTCATGCGCTCATCGCCAGAAACACCTGACGTAGAAACCAAGGGAGGAGGAGGAGTAAGCACAGGAGAGAGGATGGGATGGGGGAGAGGGGGAGGGCGAGAGAGAACAGAAGAGGCCGCGCCTAGACGGTGCATCGGCAGAAATGCGTAGAACAGCAGAGGCCATGAACATCCATGTGGAAAAACATAGTGCTGAGTGCAAGTGCGCCGGCGGCCGGCGGTTGACGGTATATCATCCACGGGGCGTCATGAATGGGGCGGGCCTGGGGTGGGAGGGAGATGTGGAGGGGAGGGCGGCAACGACGAGAGGAGGAGGACATTGAGCTAGACCAATCTTCAATACTGTACCATAGCAGCCTCCCAGTGCGCAGGCGGGCTATTCACAGGATCTTGCAAACGACCCGTGAGCGAATCCAGAATCTGGCCAGAGAGGACAATGGCTCATGAGGGGGCCAGGATCCGTGAAGGAGTCCAGGAGGGAAGGGAAACTGCGGAATGTGTGGAGAGAGTTGAGGGTTGGAGCCGGCTGGGGGTCTGAGGTTGCCCAGCATTGGTTCCGGCCAGCAGGAAGGGGGGGGCGGGTGTTCGAGGCGCTGGGCTCGATGCGGCTTTTGCCTGTCTCTACCTCCGGGGGCCGTTCCCGGAGTCGGAGGATCGCGCCGCGTCGCCGATGCATCGGCGATGCGGTCCGATGCGGAGCCTGATCTTCTCCACGCCGACGTCGCCTGTGCATCGCCGACGCCCCCGATGCATCCCCGATGCCTCGGTGATGCTTCGCGATCCGCCGACCCCGTCTACTCGGACCTCATGCGATAGGGAGGAGGAGGGGGAGGGGGAGGAGGGGGGGGGAGGAGGAGGAGGAGGAGGAGGAGGAGGAGGAGGAGGAGGTGGAGGAGGGGGAGGAGGAGGAGGAGGGGGAGGAGGAGGAGGAGGAGGAGGAGGAGGAGGAGGATGTGCGGAGAGAGGTAAGTGGATGAGTGCCCTCGCTTTGACTCGCCTCCGATCCTGCGGCGCAGGTCCCGGACCCCGACGCGGAGGACGACGAGGACGAGGACGGCGACGGTGGCGGAGCAGCCGCAGCGGCGGGCAGCGGGTGGGCCTCGACTGGAAGTCTCGGGGGTGGACAGAACCCCCAACAGTGACACGTCGATTAGTGAATTGTCCTCCTTCGGTTCTCGAGAGGGCGCCGCGGCCGTCATTTTCCAGGCTTGCGCCCGCCAGGTTTTGGCCTCAGGTCGTTTTCACTAAACCACGTTTTACTAAAGGGAGGTCTGTCCATCCCCGAAAATAGGGGACCGAACAGTGACAGAAACCTAAAACTCGGAGGTCCACGCGGATTTCTCGGGGATCGGCGCGAAGGCCGCGCGGACCTGCGAGTTTTTCTGTTTGTGTCATTGCTTGCTTCCCCAGGGAAAGAGGCAGGACGGGCGAAAGTGGACAGGGAGGGAGGAGGGCCCCTGCGTTGCTGGCCGGGGCTGGGTCGAACACCCCCTCCGCCGTGGCCTTTTCTCTTCTCTGCGCTGCGTCGCGGCCCGGCAGCCTCGAGGCCGGCCGGAAGCGGCCAGCAGAGGTTTGGTTCCCCCTCGGTCTGGGGTGAAGTCGGGCACGTCCCTCTACAGGAGGAAGATTCAAAGGTAGTCAAATATTGTCTGGGAACCATTCTTCTACTATATTTGACCATGTTTGACTATTTTCTGAATCTGTTTTATCTGTCGCCCAAAATCCGCCTGCAGGGGGGACATCCCCGACCTCAGGCTTGTTTCCCCCTCGGTCTGGGCGCGGCACGCAGGCCGGAGGAGGTGTCAGCTCTACGTCAGAGCTGCAGGATCGACCAGACGTAAGAGTGACCCTTCGCTGGAGTGACCTTTGGTGCGGGCACATTGCGATCGGAGCGTCTTGCGCGCCTATGTGTTGGCCCCCCCCCCGCGACACCCAAAAAGCCGCGCACCAAAGGCCGCTCTCACCCAGGGTCACTCTTGCGTGTAGCCGACAGGAGCCTTGGGGCACTCCTTTGCGAGCAGGAAGCCCTTAGAGTCATTCTCAGTCCTGCTTTGTTGCTTTCGATCGCGGCGTCCGCTTTGGAGGCGTGCATCGATGACGGAGCATCTTTTGCTTCCCATCAGGGGGAATTGAGTAGTTTGAGGGCTCTTCAGCCTCAGTGGGGTGTCCCACATCGAAAGCAGTCTTGCATGACATTAGCCGAAGGAGGGCGGAAGGGAGACGGCGGGAGCAGCAGAGAGTTGAGCAAGTCAAGGATGACTGTGGAACCCTTTGTGTTAAGCCTGTCGACGGCCGCCGCCAGATATTTGGTCCTGATCCAGTACTGGTAGAATATGGCATCCCGCATGTCGGATCGATCCGCCTCGATCTGCATGCAGTGCGCAGCCGCCTTTGTCTGAGGGGAGGCGGCAGTGGCGCCTCCGAGTGCCGACTTCAGATGGACGCGTTCGTTCGGGGACCTCAGTTTCAAGGCCGCGACCTTTCGCCGAGTCGGCATGCGGCCAGCATCAGTGTCGTTTAACCTATCCCCATCCCCGCAGAGCAATGGTGTCTCAGCCCCACTATCCCAGCACCCCAGCTGGGGATAGGCCCCTCGAATCCCTAAGGGAAAAGCCCGTATCCCCATCCAGGGGGCCAGTTGGGCCCAGGCCACGCCAGTCGGGAGAGGGATCGGTACGATGCTCAAGGCTGTCGGCAGACGGTCAAGTTGCTTTCCATTGTCAGGCTCTACGGCAGGGTGGGCGGGAACTTTCCTTGGAGGGTGCAGCTCCTTATGGGGATCTCTTGGGGCCCGCAGGGGCTGTCTCACGCCATTGTGGGCCGAGGCGCCTGGATTGAAAAAACGTAAGTGTGGTTCTTCATGCAGCATGTGGTAGATTCTGATGGCCTTGCTGGCGAGCCCGCGCCGCAGTACTAGCACCGCCAGAGCTTCGGGGCCAGAGCGAAATTGCGAGACACGACATCAACGCTTCGAGCGAGTCGTCCAGAGCAGCGCTCACATAAGATTCGCTTCGAAGGTTGGGACAGACGCCGAGGAGACGATTAAAAAGTCTGGATCGGCCCAGGGACGTTTGCATCGTCGCTCTCTGATCGAACCTGGATCGTGGAGCCTCGATGGGTCGGGGCTCCCGATTTTGGACATGGCCTCCGAGATGACTCCGAAAGCGGGCAGCGTGCCGAACACTGGCACGGCACAGCAGACCATGGAGCACTGACAGAGAAAGTTCCGTTTAGGATCGCGGGCATCAAAGGAAGCAGACACGTGTTGCATAAGATCTTCCAAGCCACGACTCGACTTCCAGCCAACATCAATCGGACCAGAATTGTTTTGTGAGGAAGTCTTGAGCGAAATCGCAAATTTCTGGTCGCCTCTGAAACCTTCGGGTCGTTTGCGAAGCGATTTGCGGGAAATGTTCAGCGCAGTGCGAATTTCCAGTCGTCGCCTTGGCGATTGTAACGAGGCATGGACCAGAAATCCGCGATGGCAGTCTCTGGAACATGGTACCGGGGCCCCGCGGCCGAACGGGTCCCGTCCGCGCTGAGTTTCCGCGGCCTCTGCGGTCCAGACTTTTGAATCGGAGGGGGGTTGTAGTTCGGAGGCGGATCGACCTCCTACCCTGGCACGTCGAGTAAGGAATTGGCCGTGTTCGGTCGAACATGTCAGTCCATGACCGCTGGGCTCAGGGAAATAGCTTTCGGGGCAACCGCCAACACCGATACCATATGTGCCGCAGCTCCGAGCAGCGCAGGTTCACGTTCAGCGCGCTTGATTTCAGATCCTTTGAGGTGGGAGAAGATCTAGACATCGCTAGCGCGGCTTTCGAGGAGCCGCGGCGGGGGGGGGGCAAAACCCAAGCACCCGAGCGCGCAAGACGCAGCTACCGCATCGCATTCGACGATCGGGGGACCCCCCTTGGGCCCGCACCCATGGGCCACCCTGGCGAAAAAAGGCCGCTCTCACGCGTGGTACACCGACGAAGGGGCTCCTGTCGACCCTTCGATCTGCGACAAGTCCCCCGAACAGCGCAAAGGATTTCATGATGGGAAGGGTGCATCGGAGTTGCCTCATATCACATGCTGTGGCGGGTTCGCGCTGGGAGCATCCAAGAGCTGTATTTGATCTCTAGGAAGGGCAATCGAAAGAGCTTCAAAATGAGACACGCCTTACAATTCCTCGTTCAGGTTTGTCCTAGCCTCAAGCGTGAAGTTCGTTACATCAACGGCCGCTCTCAGAAACGCGTTCCATCCTGGAGATCGGTAACACCGGCCAGCGGGTCGCCGTTCGCTTCTCCTCATACCTGACCTTGCTGCCCCCGGCCCCCATCGCAAGAAGAGGTGCGACACAGAAGAGTTCGGCGGGCCAGTTGAACAACGTGTCTCGGTTCTCCACTGATGAACAATTGCTCGCCCGTCTCGTTGCTCACCCCCCCCTCTGGCGTGTTCCGCCCTCCTGCTGTTCTGCTTCGCTCCGCCGATGCCTCTCTCGCTCGCCGTCTGCGGGGCCGACGCCCGGAGGCGCCCGGGCGCGAGGGCACGCGGGTGACCGCGACGCCGGACGTGGCGGTCTTCAGACTGGAGCGCGAGCACCTGGGTGCGCGCCGCGCGGGGAGGGCACCCTCGTTGTGCAGCCGTTCCTGGGATCCTTCGTGCCACGTGGTTCAAGAGATCAGAGGAGGGGGGGTAAGTACCCATACCCCTGCCCTTCCCTCGCGTTCGCCTGTTTGGACCTCCTGGGAGGCCCTTGTCGCTACCGCTGGAGGCGCCTTGCAATTCTGGTCAGAACGCGCCCAAGGAGAGGTCTGGGGAGTAGCGGTATCCGTACCTCTTGGTTTCCCAAATCGAGGCTTTACGCCTTTTCGCCGACCCCTGGAGCGGTGAGTTCGTCGCGAGTCGAGGAGCCGCGGGGATTGACATGAGGGTCTTCCAGGTGTCTCTCAGGGGCCTCGTTGAGGGCTCGTGGGGGCCTCTCGAGGGCCTGTTGGGGGCCGCCTGGAAGCATCCTGGGAGCCTCGTGGGGCCTCTTCGGGGCGCCTCGGGGGTAACTGGCACTGACCTGGGTCAGTAGATCCTCGAGTGCAGCCGACTTCGATTGGTAGGTCGACCATACCAGATCGAGGGTACCCTTGTGTCCTGCCTAACCCTACCTATGCAACCAGTGTGTCCTTCGGCGTTCTGGGGCCACGCTGCCGTCGGAAGAGTCTTGCCCCCTCCTGGGTGCCCTGCCCAACCTCAAGTCCGACTGCATCCCTGCGACCGCACATCCGCGGCAGCGCGCCCCGAAATCCGGATCGCGAGGGCGCGGGCACGGATGCGCGCATTCGCCGCCCGCGAGGCGTGCCTCGGGCTCCGATCCGTCCCCCCCCCCTCCCCCCGAGCGGGGGCGGAGAGGAGAGGGCCCTCCAGGGGCGCGGGGCGGCGCCTCCCTGCTCCCCCGCCCCCGCCCCCGCGCCCCCTTTGTGCCTCCTCCCCGCCCCCGTCGCCCGTCAGCATCGTTGAACGCATCCCCATCCCCATCGGGCCGCGCTGCCTCGGCCCCACCATGGCACCGCCCCAGGTGGGGGTAGACCATGGGGGCGCGCATCAAGAAACCATGTGTTGTTCGTCAGGGTACCCTTGGTTTCTTCGCTCCGCGCGCTGCGCGGTGACTCCCCGTGGCCGTCTAAGAAGCTACTGCGTTCAGGGTGCTCTGGGCTTCCCCTCAGGTGAACCTCGCGCGCGGGTTTTCAGGGTTGGGTTTCTTGCGAGGGTTTCTTGCGGCCGCGCCCGCACTGTACCCCTCGGAACCCGAGGGGGAAGAGCCCATGTCCCTGCCGGGGGGGTGCATCGGCCAGTGGGGCCCACGCCACGCCAGTGGGGATGGGGATCGGTTCAACGATGGCCCCTCCGAGGCCTGGGAGGCTCGCAGTGTTCGAGGATCAGGGCCCTCGAGGTTTTTACCCCGAAGGGTTTTTAGAACCCCCCGTCCCAACAGTGGAACCGCCGCGCAACAACAGAGGAGGAAGATGAGGAGAAGGAGGAGGAGGAGGAGGAAGGATGAGCAGGAGCAGGAGCAGCAGCAGGAGCAGGGGCAGGAGCAGGAGCAGGAGGAGCAGGTGCAGGAAGCAAAGGAGGGACGAGTTGTCTTCCCCGCCGAGAGAAAATGGAGGGAGGGAGAGAGGCGTAAACCTACTGACCCTTCCAGGTTTGTCTGAGGGCCAGGATCCTCGAGTCTCCACGAGCCAGGGCCCTCCGAGCAGCGAGGGCCCCTTCGAGGAGCCAGGGAGCCGCGGAGCCTCCGCGGGCCGCGCGGCCTGCGACCATCGGTGTTGAAAGTTCTCACATCTGTAGCTGTTTCCCAGAGCCCAAATCTACTTCACGCGCCTTCTCAGAACTTCAAGAGATTGGCCCCCGGAACCTCGAACATGCTTTGGTTCTCAGAACTTCAAGAGTCGAGATGTCTTGGCTGCTGTGTGTTATGCGTTGAGCGGGCCCGATCCCAACCTACTCCATCCGCATTCCTGATTACTTCGTGCATCTACCTAACCGAGTGCCCCGGATGATAAATCATACCCCCCTTTTCCCCCCTCTATGTTTCCAATCCTGGCTCAATCGGATTTAATTGTGGAGAGGGGCGCGGAGGCCGAATTGGATAATCCACGGGGGAAGTTGCGAATCGAAGTTACTATCATCTATCTCATGCTGACAAGCAACAGTATCAAAAACGCTGTCGCCCAAGCGCTGCCCCCAAGCGTGCACCAAGTGCCTCCCGTGCAAGGACGGCTCCAAAGGGTGCCGAGCCTGCATGAGCGAGTGGTTTGAAGCCCAGCGCGAGAGAGGTTTCTTGGCCAGAACGACCAAGGACCTCTCTTGAGTTGGCACGTTGTAGCCACGAGCCTCGAGATCTGTCGAGTCAGTCTTGTGCCAAGATCTACAAGGTCTACACAAGCGCCCAGGATCATCATCATCATCCTCCTCATCATCATCATCTTCATCATCATCATCATCACCACCATCAACATCATCATCATCATTATGCTGCCCGCGGCTATTTGTGGCTCTCTTTCGGGCCGCGCTTCCATTCTCAAGTCTCTCAGGGTCTTGCTCAGGGATGCAAGACCTCGCCCACCATGCGGCGGACGTCCTGAGGCACGGTGCGCAGGCGCTGGGGGCCACAGTCGTGGCGCGGGCCGCCGCGCCGAGCTGCGGGGCCTGCTCGCCGCAGCTGGCCTGCCCCGCGCCTTCGAGCTTCTCCTGCCCCGCCTGCGTCTGCGCGGGCGCGGGCGGGCACGTGGTCGAACCCTCGTGCCTGGGCCTCGTCACGGCCTACGCGGTGGCCGCGCTGACCGTCGGCCTCGCCGTCGGGACCGTGGGAGGTGCCTGGGCGGCGCGGCGGCTTCTCGGGCATTCGGCCCGCCAGCTGCCCGCCGTGGTGGAGATTGTTGACGGCATCGACATCGCCGCCCTCGCGGCTCAGCAGGTCCGAGACGCTCGAGCCCGCGCCCCGGCGCTGCAGTGATGGCGGGCAGCTTCCACGTGCTGCGCTACCGCGTCGGTGGCGTACCCCTCTGGCACGAGCGCCTCGTGCTCGGCGTCAACGGGGGCCTCGCCTACATCCTCACTCCCGACTTCGACGACTACGACGAGCCCATCGTCGTCGGCCCCGACGTGCGGGCGGTCCTGCAGCTCGCGGGCCAGGGCGACACGCCGCCAGCCCTGGCGGGCGTCGCGGTGCACCGCTTCCGCCGCCTTCCGACGGCCGCGGAGCTGTGGGCGGCTGTCGCTCGCTCGGTGGCTGCAGGTTACCCGAGACCTGCCGACCCTCTGCCGCTGGCGCTTGCGGCGGGCAACGTGGCGGGCGCCCCGCCTGGCCCCTTCCCGCTGGCGGACCCTGCGGCGGCCGCCGCCCTGCCGCCTGCGGCCCTGCCGCCACCTCCTGGCGGGGAAGGGGCGGCGCCGCCTGCGGGGGCCGCGGCCCCGCTGGCGATGCCCCCCGCGGCCGCGGCCGCTGCGGCGGCCCCTCTCGGCGTCGCCCCTGGCGTCGCTGCGCTGGCCGCCGCGCTGGGAGCCGCCCCGCCTGGACCCGTGGGGGCCTTGCCGCTGGTGCCAGCACCCGCAGTGGAGGCTGCGCCTCCCGCCGCCGCCCCTGTGGCGCCCGCCCCCGTCGGAGATTTCAGGGCCCTCCCGATGCAGCTCAACCCGAGGGGCGAGCGCGAGAGGAGGTTCGGTGAGACCGTCAACGCCCTCTCGGAGACGCCTGTGCAGGGCTGGCCTGTGCAGGGGCCGCGGACTATCCTCTGGTGCCTGTCCTTTATGTCGACAATGGCGGGTGCGCCCACAGCATGGCACCAGAGGTGGCTCACCTCGATGGCGTTGCCCGACGAGGACGAGTACGCGAAGCTCCACGAGACCCTCTGCCGCGTCCTCGACCTCGCCGTCGTGTGCGACCAGCTGCAGATCGCCGAGATGGCCTCTTTCGAGATCGTCGCCAGCCAGCTCCAGCTCCTGGAGGAGCGGGCGCACGAGACGCGATCGGCGCCTCCGAGCGGCGCAGCCCCCAAGGCCAAGGCCGCGGCCAGAGGCGGCGCCTCTGCTGGGACCTCCAGCTCGCCTGAGACCAGCTACTTCCTCGGCGCAGGCGTCTCAAAGACCAACCTCTGCATCTCACCAAAGTTGCTGGGGTACATCGCAGACCAGATGAAGGCGGAGGCCGCCATCGGCAAGGAGCGCCGCAAGGCTCGCGAGGAGCGGGCCTTGCGGGCGCCATGACGCCTGAGAACTTCAGGCCTGGCTGTGGGGCGCGCCACAGTGGCGCCAGCCAGGCTCATTGCCCCCTCGCTGCACACCCCGTTCGGCAGCGAGACGTTTTTCCCCTCCACCCTATACCTGTGGAGCGAAGATCGGGCACTTCATCCATGGGCGGGTCGGCCCGCAGACGGGTCGCCAGAGGAGCTGCTTGGCGCGAGTGGTACAACGACGCGGTGTCCACTCTCAACGACATGTACCACTGCGACCCGAACGATGTGATCGGCCCGCCTCCTGGTCTTCCTCCACGCGCTCGTAGTGACGCTGAGGAGTATCTTGCTCAACAGTATCGCGATGTTGAACTACCTCCTGGATATTCTGAATCTCCCCAGAGATGCGAGGCAGCCCTCGCAGAGTTGCTCGCATCGGCACCTGGGTACTCTGGAGAGTCTCGGGTAAGACCCTACAACATGGAGCTCGTCTCCTGGCCGACGCACGTGGCGCCCGTCCCGACGGCCGACCTCGTGTCTGAAGCTGATATTTCTATGTTGTCAGGGTGGAGGCATCAAATGCTACGTGACCCTGCTGATGCAGCTGCTCTCAGGAAGGACTCGGGATTGGGGTCGCCCTATGTGGATCCACGCCTTCGGTTTCGGCCTCGGGAGTATTCTGATTTTCTGCTGCGCCTGGACCAGGCTGGCATGCTTGAGTGGGAGGTCGCCGATCGTCAGGCTACCTTTTCTACTGGCATTTTCTTCGTCGAGAAGTCCAACGGCGTCAACCTGCGGCTCGTCTTCGACACGCGGGTGGCCAACATGTCCTTCTCGGCCCCTCCTTCTACGAGATTGCCGACTCCGTCGGCACGGGGCG